GGCAAAATACGCTCCCCCGGCTGGGTTTGGTGGCACTGAGGTGGTTTGCCCTCTCTGGTTTTCCTTGTAGACCGCAGGGAGGGTTTGTAACGTGAGCGAGGCAGCGCGCTGGCTTCATGTTTTTAAATGAGGAGGAAAGCGTTTCTCGTACTCGTGGGCCGGGAGGAGGAAGGAGGCTTTTTATAGCACTGCCTACTGCACGGGGGTTTTCTCTCATCTGATGCCTTATTTAGTTTCCTCAGTGCCTATTACGCGTACTATACTTACACCCAGAATATGCAAAGTGCTTTTCAAACAGAGTTGGTATCCAAAGGCAAATAGAGTCTAAAAAGGGAAAGACTTGAAACAATGGAAAAGAATAAAACGTACAAGTAGAGGCCTAAGAATATCGTGTGTCTTTTATGTTTCAGAAAAGGGTCCAAAGACTTGATGAGAAGCTTCGGGCACTGTACACAGTGCTACCCTGCTGGTCAGCAGAATTTATTATACCTGCATATACCCCCACAAACTTACTTTTCCACATCTTTTTTCTCCTCACCTCCTCTTCTGTAAGCTAAAAAACTCCAATCTAAACACAGACCTTTCCTAGTGTAAATGCTGATGTCATACTGAATACATCTGTCGTGAAGAATAACCTGCCTTCTGCAGTTCAGCTTGTATATAATTGCTTTCAGCATCAGGTAGAGATGTATTTAACGTTTTTCATAGTGATACAAAGCCTTCAAAGCAAAATTGATTTTAGTGATGGCAATGACAAAATACTTAGATTGTCAAAACATCAAAATCACTGGATTTTTTTATGCAGACCTGTCTTTTTATTTTTTTCAGAGCTAGATTATCCTCCCCAGATTGAGACTTTCAAGATTGAGGTCTGGAAGAGTACCAAACTGATTCAGAAGCACAAAACTGGTTGTAAACAATGAGGAGGATTCTAGCCTGCTTGATGCACTTTAGCTTTTTGGACTTTTGAAGGTTCAGTTTATATAGTAAGGAAGTTTGTGGGGCTCTGATCTGTCTTTTGTTATCATGGTTAACCATTTTAAGATTAAAAGATCTTAACACAAAAATAATTCAAAGTTTGAAATTGCAGTAGTGCAGAAACTAAAGAAATAACTATTAAATACCCCATTTGCACATGTCGTGGTTTAAGCCCAGCCAGCAACTGAGCACCCAGCCATGCACTCATGGTGGGATGGGGGAGAGAATCGGAAGGGTAAGAGTGAGAAAACTCATGGGTTGAGATAAAGACAGTTTAATAGGTAAAGCAAAAGCCGCGCACGCAAGCAAAGCCAAACAAGGAATTCATTCACTGCTTCCCATCGGCAGGCAGGTGTTCAGCCATCTCCAGGAAAGCAGGGCTCCACCACACGTAATGGTGACTTGGGAAGACAAACGCCATCACTCCAAACGTCCCCCCCTTCCTCCTCCTTCCCCCAGCTTTATATACTGAGCATGACGCCATATGGTGTGGGATATCCCTTTGGTCAGTTGGGGTCAGCTGTCCCGGCCGTGTCCCCTCCCAACTTCTTGTGCACCCCCAGCCTGCTCGCTGGTGGGGTGGGGTGAGGAGCAGAGAAGGCCTTGACTCTGTGTCAGCACTGCTCAGCAATAGCTAAAACATCCCTGAATTATCGACACTGTTTCCAGCACAAATCCAAAGCACAGCCCCATACCAGCTACTGTGAAGAAAATTAACACTACCCCAGCCAAAACCAGCACAGCACACCAGGAGCACTAAATGGGAACAATATGAAAACCCAAGCAATTTGTGTAGTAGTCAGCTACAGCTGGCTTTAAATAAATAATTAAAAATATTGATGCTTGCTTGTTTTCTCATCACACGCATGCTGGACATGAGAAGATTTGCAACCGCAATTGAAAAAGAAGTCAGGCATGAAACTGGCTTTAAAACTGAGCAACATAAATTAATGAAAGATTGTATGGGGTAGATAACAAGAAGAACGTGGGTTTTTATCCATTCTGCTTTTTCTAGATAAAAAGACAAGCAAAAATGCATAGGTAGCCCTTAATTTGAATCCTTGGGGAATTTTTATTTGTTTGGCACGTTTCCGTAGTAGTCTCCATCACAATATGCATTTACTTCTGACTTACCCTGTGGTTTGGTTCTCTGCTTTTGAACTCTGGCAAACCTTTCAGTCATTGCACTCGGAAGGATGGTATTGAAGAGGCAGCTACAAACTGTTACGGTACCCGCTTTTTGTCCCTGGAACTGATTTGTAAAGGTAAATTCATCTACAAAAGATGACCGTTTGACCGTTTCAGCTGTTACAATAATAGATAATTTGCATCTTGCAAACGTACATTTTGCAGTGTACATTACTGCGCTGGATATAATTTGCATCTAAACGTGGTCTATCTGACCAGACAGTCAAACCTACCTACGTCCAGGTGTTGGATTTTCTTTCTCTGATCTGTACGACCTACGGAGGGAATGTCTTGTTTCTGAAAGAACAAGAAGAGAAACAAACAGAGAGTTCCTGAAATGCTTATTTTCAGTATTACTGAAAATGTACTTGACATGCCAATGGAGTAATTTCCTGTGGCCTCAGGTTGCCTGTGGCAAAGGATCCTCTTTCCACACGGTTCTATGTTGCCCTGAAACCCCACGGTTTAACTGATCACTCAGGCTAATTGAGTCATGTCATTTTACACCACTAGAGGGATATGTCCTGTAAATTTAGTGTGTGGATCCGATCGTTTTTTGCTTGGGGAACGGGAAAGGGCTGCTGTTCAAAAATTGCACGTGTTCAGCTGTTTCTCTTTGTGATCCGTGAAATTCGGGGAATGACACCTGAAGAAGAGCGTTTTTCTCTGTCCCTGCTCTATGCAACCGCTTTATCATGGCTTGTGCTGCTGGTTGTTTAATTTCTGCATAAAATGAGACCTAACAAACAGATTGATTGGAACTCATTATGGCTACATATGTTGGAGAAGATTGTACATATTTCCTCTCGTCAGCATATTCATGCGAAGGGGGAGATAAAATTGACACAAAATCCTGAAGATGTTTTCACTACTTGGTTCTAATAGTGTTAAAATAAAGGTAGCAGCCACATAAATAAAGCTGAATTTTGTGCTACAAATCGCCTGTTCAAATTTTACGTTAATCATGAACCTGTGCCTCTTCTAGGATCTTATTTTATTGGGTCGTAGCGTATACAGCATCTTAGGCACGGAATCCTGAGTCAGGGTTCTTGGCTCAAAAGTCTCCCATCCCATGACAATGTCAGCTTCCAAATACTGCAGCTGAAAATGTCATTATTGGCAGCTTTCTGAATTTTCTAGTCCGTACGGGTTACAGAAAAAGGTCATTAACACCTCGAGATCCTGCAAGCCTGATCCTGTGTAACATGTAATTTATCCCATTGATTTATATGCAGATAGCATGAGTAAAATGCTAAAAGCAGGATTATAAAGGGATGAATCAGACTCTTTGTAAAGTGCCTTGAAGTTTAAAGGCTCTTTATGAGCACTGTTGTTGGGATGATGATAATTATGCCTGAAGTAATATCACAGAAATTTATTGGCACCTGAATGAGTGAAAAAGAGAAGTCGTTTCCTAACGTGAAGAAGGATCTGATCCAAGAAACCTCGGCAGACTTTAGCAGAGCTGATTTCCTATTCATAGTTAGATAAAGCAGAAATGTCTGCGCTGAAGTTAAATGGAGTCATGTGTTTGTAAAGCATCATCAAAGGGACTCAAGTCCTAGAGCCGTGTAAATATTCATAAATTCGCCTGTGTAATATGACCGTTCTTAGTCATATTTTCAAGGCTGTTGTATGCATTTTGGCAAATGACTGTGGTAGTGAATGACAGCATCACGGATTTCAGCTCCGTGGATGCTGTGAGCATCCAGCACTGAAGGGCTCAGATATGAAGACAACAACCTGAATAGTGTTACAAAGGGTTGATGGCAACGGGCTGCTGAGCGCAGGTATTTAGGAAAAGAGGTGCGACCTGCCGAGGACAGGACGTTCCCTCGTGTAGTTCAGTCCTACATCCAATCCTCAAAGCAGATTTCAGGGCGGCATTTTTCTTCTCCATCCTTTTCCTAGCACAAGCCTATCTGATCTGGTCTATCGAGATGTATCCCAAAACCTTTCAAATCAAAAGCTGAGGCAGGTGATACCATCCACAGCAGGTCTCATTTTACCAAAATCAGGATGTTTGCTTTCTTGTAGCAGTGGATTAAGTTGAAGTTTATCTGCACGCAGTGGTTACTACCCTGAAAGCAGACAGCACACGTAGGTGTCTCCAGGCGCCCGCAGCTTTCAACCCATTGTATTAGCATGAAGTAAAATTGATGTCAGTTTGCACTGATTTGCAGGGCTGAAATTGGTACTGGAGGAGATAAACCTGCTGTTCAGCCATTCCCGAGGGAGAAGCAGTTGACGCTGGGAAAAGTGTGGAAGGAGAGCTCAGCTTAGTGACTTTTCCAGTCATCTGAGCTTAATTCACCCCTATATGTAAATCAGAGCCCTTATCAGCTGCAAAATGTCCATGGTAAACGTGCACCAGTTTAAGCTGAAATATCAAATGAAAATCTGCCATGGGAGGGAGACTTTCCAAAAGCACAAATGGCATGTGCCTCAGTCTCACTGAC